GGACCTCGTCTCTAAGCAGAAACGCCAGGAGGATCTACAGGTCACCTGCGCCCTGATGCGCCGACTGGAAAACAGAAGTCAAAGGGGCCGTGGATGGTTTCCACAGCTCCTGGCTACTCCGTTGCAGTACGCAGGAAGCAGCGCTAGAATCTACACTCCATGGAGCAAGTCCAGATGAAGGTGCTGTGACAACGCTAGGCACATGCTGTCCCAACGACTCGGGATTCGTGCCTACAGGAAGCACCGCTCCAATCTCAAAGCCTGCAACTCAACGCCCAGAAAGCGCTACAAACCCTAAACCCCTAAACCATCCTAAACCCTAAACCCTAATTCCTGCCACGAAGTTCGCACTGCATCTGTAGACACAGCACTCGCATGAGCACTCTTTTCCTGTGAGCACCAATCGAGAGTTTCAAGTAAAGATTCGGCTCATACATCGTGTGGCACACTGCAGGAGCCCTCAGCGAAAGCCGTAGCTGAGCTGATATCGAAATCTGCTGCCGGCGATAACATGGCATGGCATATGCAGGCATGAAGAAGCCGGCATGCGAGAAAGCCTTGGCAAATGCAAAGATTTTGACGAAGTCAATCACTGTCGGACCTGGTGGTGGGGAGGAGGTGGAAAAGCTTGAGAGTGGCAGATGCGGCGCGCCTGAGAGGTCCTTTGCTCGAAGAATCGCACAACCTCACAGGACACACTGCGCAGGAATAGCCTGATCATTCCTGCCACGAAGTTCGCACTGCATCTGTAGACACAGCACTCGCATGAGCACTCTTTTCCTGTGAGCACCAATCGAGAGTTTCAAGTAAAGATTCGGCTCATGCATCGTGTGGCACACTGCAGGAGCCCTCAGCGAAAGCCGTAGCTGAGCTGATATCGAAATCTGCTGCCGGCGATAACATGGCATGGCATATGCAGGCATGAAGAAGCCGGCATGCGAGAAAGCCTTGGCAAATGCAAAGATTTTGTCAATGGGTCGGGTGGGCTGGGCAGGCGGCGGTGGAGGCGCGGGAGCGGACTCCGCTGCTGCCACGAACATTGTTGGCTGCTGCGGCACTGGAGATGGCGTGGTCTGCCATCCAAGCTGTTGGTGAAGCCAAAAGACGAGTTGATCCTCCAACTCGGCGGCTCCCAAACTGGCCTGCACGTACAATTCTTTGACGAAGTGCACGAGCAAGCCCCACAAAGCTCTCACCAGCAGCCGAACCAGGAGTGCGACCAAGAGGGCCACCACTCGCGGGAACATCAGTAGCACTAAGATGCCTGCCATAGTCCTCCACCGAAGTCGGGGCACCCACGTAGGCCATCCAAAATTCCAGCGCCAAAGGGGGCCGCGCGAAGGGCCCAAGGCGATGGCCACACCTCCATTGAGCGGCAACGGCTCCGTCGGAGGCGGTGCTACACCACCTGGCGAGGCCCGTCCGGGCCGAGCCCAGCTTTGCAGTGCCTGTAAAGTGCGTGCCAGTGTTGAAGTCAAGCGTTTGCTGGCGCTCCCGGAGCGCCACCGCGCCGCCGCGGCGCGGCTAGAAGGGTCTGCTAGCACCTGACGCGCCGACAGGCCTTTTTCCACCACAGCTGGACCTAGCGCTTCTGCCGCTTCTTCCACTGCTGCCACCACCTAGGATCAGCGGTAGTGGTTCCCACACCGCGCGAGAGGTCCATATAGAGACCTCTAGGCACCACGACCGGGAAAAGGAAAAGGAAAAGGAAAAACCGGTGGAGAAAGAGCGGAATCCCGCACGCGCGTCTAGTAGCAGGGCCCCTAGACCCTCAGGCTCCAAGTCCTCCGCCCTAGCCCCTTTTTTCTCAGGTCAACCCAAGGCCCCCGAGGCTTCTGTGTCTGGTGGTGATGTTGGGGAAGGGACTGCTGCACCCACCCCGAAGCCCAAGCCGAAGCCCAAGCCTGTGAATCAACCTAAGCTCCGGCAGTTCTGGGCCCAAGGTGGGAAGCCTTAGGGAAGCCGTAGCCTTTTTAGGCACTTTTCCTTTTAGGGCCCTTTCCCCCTAGTCACCTGGGACGCTAACAGCCATGGCCCACGCGCACCTCTCGCTTCCCCGGCCTTAGCCCTCTCCCTTGTCGAGATGGGCTGGGAATGGGAAAGGAGGTGGTGCTACCACTCCTGGAGATGGGTCTGGCGAATGGTTTGGAACGGACCAGAACCGTTTGGGGCTGACTTCTGGGAGCCCCCAGCCGAGCCCTCAGCAGATCAGACCGCCGGTCACAGCTCCTCGGGAGCTTGTGGTGACACCGGCGGCTCTGGTCCCAACCGGGTGGCAGGACTGGCAAGGTTGGTGGGAAGAGTGGGACTGGACCGACCAGGCTGGCGACACCGGTGCCAGCGGGTCCAGGGACCCCCCACCCGCCTCCTCTGAAAGGGCGAGGCAAACAGCCCTCCGTCCACAGGGAGGACAAGGCCCTCGTCCAGGCCTACCGGAAGCATGTGGACGAGCGTGCCAAGAAAAACCCCGATGCGAGGCGGGTTTCGGTTTCCAGCTTTGTGCGGAACCGGAAACGTCCCCCTCGCAGCCAGAGGGAGGCCCTAAAGGCCGAAAGGGAAGGGTCCGACCCTCCCAAGGCCTCGGTGGACGGCAAGCCGCCCAGAGTCCGTACCCCTCCGCCTTCCAGGCGGACTGGCGGCAACAGCAAAGGGGCGGCAAAGGCTGTGAAAGCCTCTACAAGCTCTACGGAAAGCTCCGAGAGCAGCCCCCCGACGGCACCGACGGAGCCTCAGGAGCCCGAAGACCAGGAAGAGATGCTGCCCTGGTCCCGCCGTATCGTTCAGAAAACGACGGCGGTAAAGTCGTCGGCCAGGGCCAGGTCGGCCAACGACCCACCCAGCAGCTCTGGAGAGGAGATGGAGCCTGACCCACCCTCTGCTGCGCCGGGTCCCAGTGCCGTGAAGGCACCCTCCGAGCAGGAGGCCACCGAGGTGCCCACAGCCTCACCCATGGAGGAGGTGCCTGTCAAAGACGAGACCACCACCAAGGATGACCCCATTTCCGGGGCTCCGGTCTCAACAGGCTCAACCTCCCCTTCTAGGGTCGAGGAAGGAACAGGTGGTCCGGCCACCAGCCGCGACACGTCCTCCGCGGGACCTGCTGGCACAGCCAGTGAGCAGGATCCTGCTCCTCAGGAGGCGCCACCTAACCCCCGGGGCGTGAGACCGCCTGCTGGCCCCCCGGTCTCCTACGGCTCGGGAAGGGAGGAGGGAGCCCCTAAAGCCCCTCCCAGCCAGTGCACCGAGGGTTGAGGAGCCTCCTCCCCTCCCTCCTCCTCCCCATCCTCCCGAAGGAGGAGCAGCCCCTCAGAGAAACAGGGGCGATGTCCCAGCGGTGCCCCGGCGGCGACCCAGTTCATGCGCCTCGACATAGAGTGTCGCCAACCGCCGGAGGCGAGATGGATCGCCCTGGCAGTGAAGCCCTCAGCCCTTGCCTCTGAGGTGCTCAGCCTGTGCCGCAACAGGCTCAAGCTGGGGGGCTTGGACTGCCTCCAGGTCTGGCCAGACGAGGCGATCCTGGACCTGGTTGCCCATGGGCGACCAACTCCGCGAGGGTGAAAGGACCCTCATGGCTACTGGGCCTTCGGCCCTGCAGCCAGAGGTCCCCGAGGCCAGCGAGCCCTCCCTCAGCGACCCCTTTTTGAAGAGCCTTGTTCGGATTCAGCTCTTGTAGAGGATGTGGAGGCACCACCCTCGTATGGACCCCACCGGGCTCTTTTGTTACGCTTGTAGGGTCGGGTGCCCTACAATCGAACATATGCAAGCCCATTTCATGACCCCCGGGCATCAGGAGCGGGTCAGGAGGTTTTTGGCCTCCTAGCCTCCCCTCTCCTTTGCAGAGGCAGGAGGCTCTGCAGGGTGAAGGGTTCCTCCCCTCCGGGTGAGGCTCCCTCCCTGTAGGACTTTCGTCCTGTTTCACTGGGATGTGGATCCCCACTCCCAGGAAGTGGCTACCCACTCCTGCCAGTAGCTCAGGTAGGTCAGGCAACCTGTAGCTCAGGGTAGGAGTAGCCACTGCCGCCACTTTGGCGATGCCCGCAAACGCGGATGACTCCAAAATACTTGGAGTTAATTTGTGCATGTCGGACAAGCCTACGGGCTGCTTCTGCGAAGCGTGAGAGGAAAATCCCATTTGGCTCAAGTTTTCGGCTCAGACTTTGCAGTGCCGACGTGGCCTTTTAGCCTGGAGTCCCTACTTTTGCTAAAGGCCTTGACTGGAACCCAAACCGCAACCTTAAAGGTCGTAGGCTGGCTGTCCAGCAAGGGTTGGGGCGGGGTAGCGCCATACTGCACGTGCTTTCAAGCCGAACACTTGCTCAGCCGTTGTCACAGGTTGAGCTTGCTCGCCATGACTTGGGGAAAAAACGGTGCCAAGGGTGCAGCAACGCCCTACATCGTCTGTCCTCATTGCTCTAGGGCGGGTAAGCAGAGCTGGATTTTCGTAGACAGAGTCCAGCATCATCCCCCTGTGTGGCAACGCCTGGAAGACAAAGGGTGCTCCGGTCACTCAAAGACTGCGCCCGCGGGGTCCCAAGAAGAACAGGGACAGAAGCGCAACCACTGAGAGTGCAACCCAAAGCCCCCAACGGCCCAGGAATCAAGAGGGCAACCTCTCCAAAGCCGTTCTTTGGCAGAAGTTTCCCCAGAGGTCCAGAAGGAACTGAGCGAGGCAGGTTTCCAAGCAGGCCGGCAGCCGAGTCCGCCTCCAGGCCTCCAGTCTGGAAAAGGCAACGGGGCAAAGGGTGGGCTTGACGAGCAGGTAAGAACCTGTGGGATTCTGCGTCTGATGATCAGAAGAAGCTGATGCGCCAAGCTGGCATCCCTGAGCCGGTTGCGTCGAAGCCAACAGACCTTGCGGCCCTTTGCAAGAAGCACTTGGAGTCAATGCGCCTTCGATCCAGCAAGCCCTTGCAGCACTTGATCCTCCGGCCCCCACGCAGACTCAGCAGATTGAGATTGCAACTCGTCGCTTTAAGCAGAGCACTACGGACTTGCGACAGATGATCCAGCAAACTGCTGCCTTACAGATTCGCATAGACCGAGCCAAAGCAACCTACCAGGAGCTGCTTGAGAAGATGAAGGTTTGCCAATCTGATTTGCAGAGCAAACAAGCTGAAGTCACGGCCATGCAGTCGGAGTTGGAAGCCACACTCCGTGCTGATGCTTCGGGTCTGGAGGACCCCGCGCGCAAGGACGATCCATTGGAAGGGCTTCTAGATACGCTTGCCAAAGTTGGAATTGTCCTGACCCAGGAGCAGAAGGAGCTTTACGAGGAGGCCCAGCGCGGTAAGCTTAATGATGGGCAGCAGAATATGGAAGTTGAAGCCACAAACCAGCCTGGTTTGACGGCTCCGACCCGTGCCCCGCTGAGCCAAACTCTGCCAGAACGCAAGGGCACTGAGCCGCATGAGCAAGCCAAGCCCAGGTCCAGGAGCCGAGGCCGTAGCACGCAGCAAGGTGAGGGAGTGGGGCTGGGGGTCCAGGTGAGGTCTGTTTTCGAGGAAGGTCCTTTCAGTGGGGAGAGTGGGCAACCTGCTTGTGCATTTCAGCCTGCCCTTCTGCTTGATCAAGACGTTTCCTGTGCCCCTGCGTCCAGCTCTCAACCATGCGGGGTTTCCGGCGAATCGGTTAAGAGACCCATTTCTTTGTACAGTGATTTGTTTTCATTGGGGGAGTGCCAACCTCAGCAGCCCAAGTCCTTGGAGAAGGTTTCAGGGTATGTTGAGGCTTACTCACAATTTTGCAACACCGACCTTGTATGGGATCAGTTTAAGTTACCTGGTTTTTCTGGTCAGCAAGAATGGGTTCTTTTGGGGATTTGAGTGCCTGGCAGACTGTTACCAAAGGATTACGCCACAGCACCCCGCTGCAGTCCCAGGACACCCAACTCATCACAGGGCCCCAATTCTGGCCCCCATCTTTCTCGACAACTGAGTTTGATAAGGTCCCTGTGACCGGTGCTTCTCCAATCTCTGCTTTTGTGGCCACAACCTCAGCAATGGCATCTCAAGTTGAGGAGTTTCCTCGCTTACAGGCGTCGGGGAGCCATGCTGAGGTTGGGGTCACCCGCAATGTAATAAAACCAGGCGCAGAGCGAAAAAGCCCAAACACATTAGGGTGCCTTTCTTTCAGCTTGCCCCTTGTGAGATGCCACCTGAGTTGCCACCGTTGGCAAGCCCACATAGCCAGTGGCGAACACTCGAAGTGTGGGAGGCTGTCCAGAACCCAGATCTGTTAGGAGCAACTTCGAAGTTGGTTGCCCACCTTCTTGATCAGGTTGAGTTGGGCAGCTTAGGTTGGTGGCTGTGCCAAGAGATCTTGGCCCTCCAACGTTCTTTTGACTTGACTTTGCTCTTGCTTGTTGCTCGGGGCTTTGAAGTTTTGTGCAAATCGCAGCCACAGGGGCACAGGCAAATGCGAGTCACATCTTGCAACATCACTTCTTGGAGGCCAGAAGTCAAGCAATGGTTTTCAGCTCAAGGGGATGTTATCTTGATTCAGGAGCACCATCTTTTGGAGTCCCAAGTTGTTGCTGAAATTTCGTTTATGGCTGCCATGGGCTTCGACTCTTTCCTTGTGCCCGCAAGCCCCTGGGGAAGGCCGACGGAGAGGCGGAGAAGGGGTTTTAGTTAGAGCCCACCTGGGAGCCCGTTTGCGAGGCCAGTATACCAACCAAGGTTGTGGCTACGTGGCGGTGACGCTACGCACACAAGGGGCTGACTTGACAGTGGTTAGCCTGTACCTCCAGTCTTCCTCCGGCTTCGGGTCCCCGGTCAACTCTGACATCCTTGCATCTCTGCGCGCAATTCGTCAATCTGTGAGGGGCCCAATCCTGATAGGTGGAGACTGGAACTCGCCTTTGAAGGATTTGTTGGACACTTCCATTTTTCAAAGTTTGTCCCTGGAACCAATTGGGCCCAACAAAGCCACCTGTGGTGACAATGAGCTTGATTTTCTGGCTGTATCACACTGCCTGGAAGGTTTGCTCCGGGTTGATGCCTCCTGGGATGTTCCTTTCAAGCCACATGCAGCAATCCAAGTTGCCCTTAATGTGGGCGCTTTCCAGCTCACCACTCCACAGCTTCCCTCCTTTGTGCTTTCCTTCAGGGAAGAACCGCTTGATTACATACAGGTTGAGGAGACCCTCGCCTCTTTGCCAGATACCACCTTGTCGGCTGACCCCCTGAGCAATCGACTGGCTTCCATTTCCAGTTCGGTTGAGCACAGTCTTTTGCAATCGTCCCAGGGTATTGGTCGCCAACTCCAAGTTGAATTCCTCCCAGCTGTTCCTCGCATGTCCCAGTTCGCATGGGAAGGTTCTTGCCAGGCTTTTTGGCACCGGGTACAATTTCTGTGCCAGGGAGACCACCCCAAACGTCGAGAGCAATGCCAGGAGTATTTGCCGCAGATCCTGGACCACTGGCAGGGCAACTCGGAGGAGGCTGTTTCCTTTCTTTCTACGCTCCAGGCCTGTCTCTCGGAGCAGGCTGCTGTTCCCGAGCCCGTCCAGCAATTATTGCAGGAGCAATTTCTGCTGGCCTCTAAAGTTCACCAGGAGGCCCAGACCAAGTCGTACAGGTCGTGGTTACAGGGAGCCCAAGAAAAAGGGATGGCTCCCCTTTTCAAGACGATCAAAAAAGGTGAAATAACCACTGCACGTCCCTTCCGGGATCTGTCCGCAGAGGTTCGCGCCCTGGCTAGAACCAAACTATGGCTCCGCACTTGGAAAGGTGTACTTAGAGTTGAGGACCTTCCTCCTCTTCCACACGTAGAGCAACAGGCTCGCGGGAAACTACGGGAACTGGCTGCTCAGCAGGTAGCTACCCTGAGCCCCATTTCCCCGGAACAGCTGCAACAAAGGTTCTCCAAAGGCAGGGTCACTGCCCCAGGACCGGATGGCTGGAGCAAGTCCCTTCTCAAGAAACTGACTTGGCCAATGCTTCAGGACATCGCTGAATTTTACCAGGAGCTCGAAAGAGGCCTCCGAGTCCCGCAGCAGTTTCTCCTGACACAAGTTTGTATGCTGCCTAAATCGGCTACGGCTGAGAGACCTATCTCTTTAACTCACGTTTTGTGGAGGGACTATTGCAGAGCCAGGTGGTCCCTGATCCAAGAGTGGACGGTCTCCTACCAGGCCCTGGCTCCTTGGGATGCCGCAGTGCCAGGTCGAACTTCTCTAGACATTGGCATCCGCCGGTTGCTGTGGGCCGAAGCCTCCCGAACTCAGTCCAAACACTTTGTAGGACTCTTTCTTGATATCAAGGGCTTCTATGATTGTGTAGTTTGGGCCTCGGTAGTCGACACCGGACTCCTGTTGCAGTTCCCACCTTTGCTTTTGGAGCTTTCCCTTCAAATTTATGGTGGGGCACGATTTGTCTCAGCCGAAAATTCGGTTTCGCCGGGAATTATTCCCACAGTTGGGTTGCTTCAGGGTTGCCCTGTTGCGCCGGTGGTTTCGAAACTGGCTTTGTTTGTCCCAATCAGGGACCTTCAGGCTACTGGCCTCACTCACAACATAGACCAGTGGCTGGATGACATTTCGGCTGACGTGGTAGGGTCCACTGCTTCTAACACGGCTCACAAAGCCCTCAAGACATTTCGTATACTGCGAGATTCTCTTGCGGAACGAAATCTTCAGGTTTCCTTGGAGAAAACCAAGTTTCTTTGCTCAGATTCTGCCACCTCTCAAGTTCTTGCGCGTCTGCGTTCGGACCAAGATCCTGGCATTACTCTGTTAGCCAAAGACTTAGGGGTTGACAGCAATGCTGGCAGACGCCGCAGGCTTGCCACCTCTCTGGGCAGGCACAAGAAGGCGCAAGGCCGCCACAAGCGCCTTCGTGCTTTAGGTGTTGATTCGCATTGTTCACGCACGAGGGTTGTGCGCGGATCCATCATGACATGTGCCACCTATGGCCATCAGGCACAGGGTGTTAGCCCCAAACGGTTGAAATGGCACCGCGCTGTGCTGGCTGGTAGCTTAGGACGCCAACATCTTGGAGGAACCCTGACCGTCTTGGAGATGTTCTCCCACAGATTTCCGGATCCCCGAGAGCAGATCATTTGTGAGCATTTGCAAGTTTTTCTTCGTATTCTTGGCCGTTCTCCTTCCATTTGGGAGGAAGTTCAAAGGTCCTGGCCCTTGGTCAAATCCAGGTTGGAGGCTTCGCCTCACCCTTGGAAAATCGTTGCCGGACCCATTTCGGCCATGATTCAGTATGCCAGGGATATGGGATGGGATGTCCAGTCCCCGGAAGTCTGGCATATTGATGGCCACCCCTGGCCCGTTGACTTCAGCCCCTTTCTTTTTCAGGAGCTGCGGCGCAAGATTCGGTCTACCATCAAGAGCGAAAGGTTGCGAGCCATCTCTGGCCAACATGGCGGTCAAGGAGCTCAGGAGGGTGTAGATTTTACAATTCATCGCCGCATTGCTTTAAAGAAGACCAAACGTCTGACCTTCTACAGGTCAATCTGGCAAGGTGCAGTTGTGCATGCGGGAAGTGGTGGCCACCCCAAGTGCCCTTACTGTAAGGATCGGGGCCTTGAGTCAGAAAACACACTACAACATGTGCTGTGGGACTGCCCCAGATGGGCCAGACAGCCAAAGCTTCCCAGGCATCTTGAACAAATGCGTCAGTCCCATCCTGCGCCCTGCCTTTGGTTGCGAGCCCTTCCCCCTCTTGCCTATGTCTCCTCGCCACTTCAGAACGCTGAGGATAGGTATGCGGGGACCTGGCCGTCACAAACCTGGGACTCGGATCTTGTCATTGGCACCGATGCCAGTGGCGGAAAATTTTCTTCCGATCCCAGATTGAGGACCATTGGATGGGCTGTGATTCTAGCACGTAAAACGGGCCAAAGCATCACAGTTATCGCAACTGCGAGCGGGGTTTTGCCTCGGCCGGCCACGGTTCTAGATGGGGAGGTCCATGCCATTGTCAAGGCCCATGAGCTTTGCCCGGGCCTGAAGGATCTTACTACAGATTCTCGGGTAGCTTGCAAGCAGGCCGCAGCTAGGGCGGTTACATCCAAGCATTCCATGTTTTGGAAACCCCAATGGCAGAACATATCCCCACAACACCTTCATTGGGTCAAGGCCCACTTGGATGTAGGAAAATTTGCTGAAAAATTTGGAAAAGATGAGGTTTGGCGTTGGCATTTGAATCAGGAAGCTGACCAACTTGCCGGGTCCAGGGCTGACCAAGCTTTGCACCCTGATGCCAAAAAGCAAGTCAGGCAAGTTGACACGCTGGTTTCCACCCTTTCCCAGCTACTCAGTCAGAGGGCGGAGATTTTGATTACTACGCAGGACAAGAAGACTATTTTCTGCAAGCGCCAGCCAAAACCTCCAACCCTTAACAAAAGGCAGCAGATTGAGCAACTCGTCAGCCAAACCGTCTCTCCGCAGGGACACCAGTGGGAAATTCGGAGTCAGCACCCTACGAACCTCACAGCCATGTGTGGGAAATGTGGCCTTTACCTGCAGCAAGTTGACCCTCCTTCACTGTTCCAGCAGGTCCTTGCCCAGCCGTGCTTGGGAAGGGAAGGTCGTCCCCCGGAGCACCTGGCCTGTCACTCCTCCCATCAGTTTGTTTCCATAGGCAAAGCTTGGCAGTGTAAAGTGTGTGAAGGCATTTTGCCAGCGCGGGCAAAGAAAGTCCCGGGGCTCCTCCAGTCCCTATGTGTGACCCGTAAACACACTAACAAACTGACTAAGTTCACCAAGAGTTTGTTAAGTGGTGTAGGGGTTCCGGAGTCACTACCTGCCTCCAAGAAGGCTAGCAAGCTTTCTAAGGAGACTCTCCCAAAAGCCCAAAACCTTAGCAACTTCTTTGCAACACCACTTAACAGGGTTGAGGCCACTCCCCTGCAAACTCTCATTTCCGATGACCCTCCCTTGCAGAACATGGTCAGGATTGAGCCTCCCTCTCCTGCTGTCCGCGATTACCGGGATCCTGGTAGCCCAGAACTTGGAGACTTAAGGGCTGCTGGCTCCATTGTTCGCAAGGTGAAGTTCCAAAATCCATCCAACCATTGTTATACCAATTCTTTGGTGGTTGGTTTCTTTTGGATTGACCTGCTCCTTGATGCCTCCAGCCCCTTTGCTGGATCCCCCATCCAGGGCATTCTGCGATGGTTGAAAGATCAACGCAAAGTCGAGCTGTGGCAGTCCCTGGTTTGGAAGAGATTAGTTGCAGGCCAGGGTCGATGGGAATCCCCAAACAGCCAGCATGATGTTTGTCAACTTCTCATGCACCTTTCTTCGGGGCTTCCCCGTGACCTCTCTTGCGTTTCATGGCGAGCTCGCGCTCCCAATGCACCTCACCACGAGGGTAACTTTTTCCCACTTCCTCTTCACCTCCCGGAGCACGAAGTCTCTATAAGGGAACTCCTGGCAAGTTGGCAACAAGGTGGAGAAGTGAAAATCCTTACTCACCCGCCTTTGATTGCATTGCAGCTTTTGAGGTTTGTTAGGGAAGGGGGGGGTTTTCGGAGGCTCGAGAACCCAGTTGGTTTTGAGGATCCTTGTGTGCTTGAGGGATTGGATGGGGAACTTCTTCGTTACTACCCCAAGGCCGTGGTCTCGCATTTAGGCAACTCCCCGACCTCTGGACATTATCGTACATTACTTCTCCCCTCCAAGCTTATTACTGATGATGGGGTAGGTGCTGTTTGCGCCAAGCCTGCAGATGTAGCCTGGTCTAAGTGCTACTCGTACCTGGTTTTGCTAACCCTCCATGTCTGAGCCTTCTCGCAGCTTTTGGCTCCAAGATGGGTAAAGGAAAAGGGAAGAATAAGCCAGGGAAGGGGCAGAATGCCCCTTTCGAGGACCCGGTAACGGAACAGCGGTACCAGGCCCTCTTGCAGCACCGTTTTAGTGAGGGCAAACCTGCTATTTCGAGATCAAGGTACTCCAGGCAAAGCCAGCATTCAGGTACCGACCGGGAACCTCCGGCTTCTGGTCCCAACTTGTCAAGGTCGGTTGGAGGCCCCTATCACGAGGCCAAAAGCCGCACCCAAGCCGGGGGTAGCCCGAACCCCACCACCACCACCGCCAAAGCGGCAACGCACAGAGGCCCAGGCTGAGGAGGCCTCGCCAAGAGCCTCCGGTTCCAATCTGCAGGCTGAGGTGCCCTCGTCTTCCAATGCTGATGAACCAAGCCTAGCCTCCACAACCCAGGTTGAGCAGGTCTCGCCTGCACCAACCTCTCCTTTGGGGCCTGAGCAGGATGAGGTGCTGACCTCTCCAAAGCAGGAACCTGCCCAGAGTTCTCAGACTGAGGTTCCTTCACCGGTAACCAAGCCGGATACAGATGCTGGTGATCCAGGCCTGGCCGCCGCAACCCAGGTTGAGAAGGTCTCGCCTGAACCGGCCTCTCCCTTGGAGCATGAGCAGGAAGAGGTACTTACCTCTCCTAAGCAGGAGCCTGCCCAGAGCTCCCAGGTTGAGGTTACCTCACCGGCGCCCAAGCCGGATACAGAAGGCAAGGCTTCCAAAACACAGGTTGAGAAGATCTCACCTGAGCCAGCCTCTTCTTTAGTCCCTGAGCAGGTTGAGGAACCCTCACCTCATCCAGATCCTGTCCCCAGTGACCAGGTTGAGGCTAACTCACCGGCCACTACCAAGTTTTCGGAGGAGGCTCCAGCGAGGACATCAGAGGGGAACCAGGCTCGGAGGTTCCCTTGGAGCTTCTCTACAAGCAGCCCCTGAAGATCCCGAGATCCCTCCGAGGCGTGTCCCTAAACAAAAAAGGCTCGTCTGGCACGCCTTGGA